AGACACAACATGTGCAACTCCTACATGATAGTGAAGACACAACATGTGCTACTCCTACATGATAGTGAAGACACAACATGTGCTACTCCTACATGATAGTGAAGTCACAACATGTGCTACTCCTACATGATAGTGAAGACACAACATGTGCTACTCCTACATGATAGTGAAGTCACAACATGTGCTACTCCTACATGGTAGTGAAGACACAACATGTGCTACTCCTACATGATAGTGAAGACACAAAATGTGCTACTCCTACATGGTAGTGAAGACACAACATGTGCTACTCCTACATGGTAGTGAAGACACAACATGTGCTACTCCTAGATAATAGTGAAGACACAACATGTGCAACTCCTACATGATAGTGAAACACAACATGTGCTACTCCTACATGATAGTGAAGACACAACATGTGCTACTCCTACATGATAGTGAAGACACAACATGTGCTACTCCTACATGATAGTGAAGTCACAACATGTGCTACTCCTACATGGTAGTGAAGACACAACATGTGCTACTCCTACATGGTAGTGAAAACACAACATGTGCTACTCCTACATGATAGTGAAGACACAACATGTGCTACTCCTACATGATAGTGAAGTCACAACATGTGCTACTCCTACATGATAGTGAAGTCACAACATGTGCTACTCCTACATGATAGTGAAGTCACAACATGTGCTACTCCTACATGATAGTGAAGACACAACATGTGCTACTCCTACATGATAGTGAAGACACAACATGTGCTACTCCTACATGATAGTGAAGACACAACATGTGCTACTCCTACATGATAGTGAAGACACAACATGTGCTACTCCTACATGATAGTGAAGACTCAACCCAACATGTGCTACTCCTAGATGATAGTGAAGTCACAACATGTGCTACTCCTACATGATAGTGAAGTCACAACATGTGCTACTCCTACATGATAGTGAAGACTCAACCCAACATGTGCTACTCCTACATGATAGTGAAGACACAACACAACATGTGCTACTCCTACATGATATGAAGACTCAACACAACATGTGCTACTCCTACATGATAGTAAAGACCCAACCTAACATGTGCTACTCCTACATGATAGTGAATACACAACCCAACATGTGCTACTCCTACATGATAGTAAAGACCCAACCCAACATGTGCTACTCCTAGATGATAGTGAAGACTCAACCCAACATGTGCTACTCCTACATGATAGTGAAGACTCAACCCAACATGTGCTACTCCTACATGATAGTGAAGACCCAACCTAACATGTGCTACTCCTACATGATAGTGAAGACACAACCCAACATGTGCTACTCCTACATGATAGTAAAGACCCAACCCAACATGTGCTACTCCTAGATGATAGTGAAGACTCAACCCAACATGTGCTACTCCTACATGGTAGTGAAGACTCAACCCAACATGTGCTACTCCTACATGATAGTGAAGACACAACCCAACATGTGCTACTCCTACATGATAGTAAAAACCCAACCCAACATGTGCTACTCCTAGATGATAGTAAAGACCCAACCCAACATGTGCTACTCCTAGATGATAGTAAAAACCCAACCCAACATGTGCTACTCCTACATGATAGTGAAGACTCAACCCAACATGTGCTACTCCTACATGATAGTGAAGTCACAACATGTGCTACTCCTACATGATAGTGAAGACACAACCCAACATGTGCTACTCCTAGATGATAGTGAAGACACAACACAACATGTGCTACTCCTACATGATAGTAAAGACCCAACCCAACATGTGCTACTCCTAGATGATAGTGAAGACTCAACCCAACATGTGCTACTCCTACATGGTAGTAAAGACTCAACCCAACATGTGCTACTCCTACATGATAGTGAAGACTCAACCCAACATGTGCTACTCCTACATGGTAGTGAAGACTCAACCCAACATGTGCTACTCCTACATGATAGTAAAGACCCAACCCAACATGTGCTACTCCTACATGATAGTGAAGACTCAACCCAACATGTGCTACTTCTACATGAAAGTGAAGACTCAGCCCAACATGTGCTACTCCTACATGATAGTAAAGACCCAACCCAACATGTGCTACTCCTACATGATAGTGAAGACACAACCCAACATGTGCTACTCCTACATGATAGTGAAGACACAACATGTGCTACACCTACATGATAGTAAAGACCCAACCTAACATGTGCTACTCCTACATGATAGTGAAGACACAACCCAACATGTGCTACTCCTACATGATAGTGAAGACACAACATGTGCTACTCCTACATGATAGTGAAGACCCAACATGTGCTACTGCTACATGATAATGAAGAAAAATTTTAATTTAAAAAAATGCGCCGCGACCAAGAAAAGTTTGGAAAACACTGTACATACAGTCCGCGACGACAGCACTAGTTGTGAGGCCCTAAATCCTCACTATCCCTTGTCTAGGACGCCCTGAAAGTGGTACATACAGACAGAAGTGACCCTTTGTATATTCATATTTAAAATATATTTATTTGCGAGTCAACTCAATATTGTGAGTAATTATTATTATCCTCCTATAGTAGGATTGGAAGTCGTCGTGATGTGACGGCTAAACGCTCGCCTGCGGGTCGGAAAGTCGTGGGTTCGAAGTGTTCATCACTAGCAAACGTTATTAGAAGAAGCCGCAGATGTTCTGAACTGTTTTCAGAATGTCTAATTTTAGCAATAACAGATCGCCGGTAAACGGCAGATGGAAACATACGTGCATGTTCTGGCGAAACTTGGAAGATAGTAGAAATGGACATAATAAGCACCTAGGATGCCAACCGAAGACCAGCAGCAAGAATTAATCGTGATTTTACTTAAGAATGCCTTGTGTGTTGATCTAAAATCAACAACATTTGAGAGATCATCACAGCACACAGTTTTTGTATACGCAAGTCACCTTGTCTTTGGTTCTTTTTTCAGTTTCGTTAAAGGGGCTGCACTCTTGTTGTATTTGAAAAAACAAACTTCGTGAGTGATTTCTCTGTATTAGGTCAAGGTAACACACTGGGCGTTTGTACCACTCCAGCGTGTAGAAAATAAACAATTAAACCACAACAAATCCGAGTCATCAGCTGAACACATCTTTGCCATATCTCATTGCACATGTCATTGATGTATCCCAGTAAGTATATTGTTGGGCAACCACCGACATCAGTGACAACAGAATAACGGCCACATTACTGGACATGTACGAACAAGGCATACACTTATTAAAGAGAAGACTAAGTTTTTTAAAAGCTGGTAAGAATTTAAAGAGAAAGAAAAATAAATGTAGGAAAAAAATAGTTTATATCAACTTCATAAAGTTACTTGCAATAAACAAACAAAGGACGTTGCGGCGACTAGCCTTCATCAGCAAACAAAGACAGCACATACACACACAGGCTAGATGATCTAGTTGGTTGAGTTGGTAAACATACGTAATGCGCTGTATGTGACTGCCAGTCAACACACGTAAATCAACTCCTCGGCCAATGCTGAACTCATTCTAATTCAGAGAAACTGGTTGCATCTAAAGAATTTTCTGACCGGTGAATCGAAGGGAATCAGAGAATGATGTGTCCAGTGAAGCAAATGTGATCAGAGAGTTCCGCAGAGATGGCTCCTCCTCCTCCTGCGGGCTCCGACCCTCTCACAAGCATGTTGTAAAAGCGATTTTTAGGGCTTGGTTGACACCTCAGCCCAAAGGCGCAAATATCTCAGCCTAGCTGTATACAACACAGCGTGCCAACAACTTCTTTAAGGGCGAATATACAAGAAGCAATAGCTGGCTGTCTGTGTGAGTCTTAGGACCTGTGGGGGGGGGGGGGCAAACAGACTCACTGCAACCTCCCTCCCCCTTCCCCACCAGGACCTCTTCGCCAACTCACACATTTCTTGGTAAATAATTGGGGGGAGGTGCTCATGTCTTTGAGTACCCCCACCCCGCCCACCCCGCAAAAGAAATTAAAAGGGTGTAGCGCCTTCACCACACAATAATTGCTAGGATGCCCTCTTTAACTATGTTTAGAAATTATCTTTTAAAGTATGTGTCTATGTATTTTATTTCACATGTATTTTATTTGCCATTCAGAATATTACTATTATTATTATCATTATTATTTTTATCATTATTATTATTATCATCATTATTATTATTAATTGGCTAAATGGCCAAAAATATAATAACATACTCGAAATAATATGAAATATATAAACAAATGTGTTAACAAAAATGTATATGCATAGTTAAAGACAATATCTTATGAGCAATGAGAAACACCCCCCAAAAAAAACTAAGAAAAGTGTTTTTTGGAGCTCTTTAAATTTCAAAGGAAATAAAAAACCCTCACTTAGTGGCTTCTAAACCATCTGCAAACATGTCGCAAGAGATCACTAGAAATAGTATAAATCAAATTATCTTTCAGGAAATGGTTTGAAATAACATACAAACATAATGATATCCAGACGTATTTAGTAGAGGTCTGCAAGTCACAGAATAATCTCCAAAAAGCAAATAGAAAGATTGCTCAACCATAAATCACATTTTCTACAAATCACAGGTTCTTATAACTAGATCACATTAGGAGAACTAGATGTCAATGATCAACACAATTATGTGTTTTTTACACCTGTTGACAATGTCTGGAATGTCCACAGTATACTCGACCACAGAAGTTGTTCAGTCTGCAACCGCTCGGGATAGCACTGTCAGGAAATATTCCCCTGTGACAACTTGAAATAAAACTCCCGCTTCTTGAGTTTTCATATATTGATGTTTTTGCTCAGTGAGTGCTGCAAAGTTTCCTTTGTTTGTGTATCTGTATGTCTGCCTATTTCTCTGTCTGTCTCGCTATCTGTCATTTTCTGTCTGCCTGTCTATATAAATATTTGTCTGTCAAGGTCTAGAAACTCCAATCACTAGCACTTGAAACGGCAGCTGGTCAATTCCAGATAATATATTTCCGTCAGCTCGGCTACCAGCCTTTGTCCAGCAGGGCGCGGGCTAGTTCGGACACTTCGTACAGACAGGAGCCAGGGATGTGGTCGCTAGCCACCCCCACCACCACGCAGGAGTGTGTCGTCTGCGCCACCAGAACGCTGTCGCCAGAGTGGCAGACGATCTTGTCGGTGCCATGTTTGAAACAGGTGTAGAACTAGAGGAAGATAATATGGTCACAATCTGTTTGTTGGTTAGGGGCACATAACACACACACATTACACATATACAGACACATAATCGACACACACACACACACACACACACAGATAAAACACACATGTATATATATGTACAGACACAAACACACAATGACTTCTTCTTCTTCTTCTTTCGTTCGCCTGAAATAAGTTGTCTATATCAGCAGTTTTGTCTCTTGTATAAATTTCACTGTCGTTGTTAGTTCATTCAGTGGTCCATAGAGTTTACGTTCCACTGTTGTTCTTTCTGGCCAAAAGGTTTGCCTTAATGTGTCAAAATCGGTGCAGTCCTGGAGTACATGCTTTGCTGTCTGGGGCACATTTCCACAGGTGCACATGGCTGATACACCTATCTTGAATTTTGTGTACATGTGGTTACGTAATCGGTTGTGCCCTGTTCTGAGGCGGAGGATAATGACTTGTTCTGGTCTGTCCATAATAAAATAGTCGTCTTGTGCTGGGGCTGGTGGTTTCCTGATCGATTTAATTATTCTTTTATTTTGGTGGTATGTGACTGGTACATCTGGCTACTCTTTTGTCGCACCTTCCCCTGCCAGTTGATCAGCTTTCTTATTTCCAGGCACTGCACAATGAGACGGTATCCACTGCATTACGACTCTTCGCTGAACGCTGAGTTGTGTCAGCAGTGTTTGCAATTCTGGTAGTTTCCTAGACTGGAGTGCTTCAAGTACTGATTCAGCAAATGTCAGCATTACCCCATACTGTGAGCCAAGGTTGGTATTTAGCAGTTTCTCTGTAGCTATCTTGATAGCCTGGGTTTCTGCATCATAGTTATGGCAGTACTTCCCGGTTGGAACTCTGGACTTATCCCTAGTACCATCTGGGAATTCGATGTACACTCCAGCGCCACCATTTCTAACTGCACTTTCTGCGGACCAATCTGTATAGACTCTGACCCATTGTTCTTGTGGGTATTCTTCATCAATATAACTGAGGGTGGCCATTCTGCGTTGTACACTATCTTGCTCTTTCTTGTCAAATATCCCTTTCACATTTGTCTGGATCTGTACCGTTAGTTTACATTTTTCTCTCCATGGGGTTTGTTCCGGAATACTTTTAAGTGGGCAACAAATTTCTGGAAGGTCAGGAGTTTGTCTACATATTCTTTTTGCTTGGTGTATAAAGCTGCTTCTTTTTAACCGTCCCAAGGCTAGGTTCTGAAATCTATTTTCCATCGGGTGATCTGGTATACTGAGGAACTTTTCAGCTTGTATTTGCAACTTTGTATCTCTGCGTTCTCTCAGTGCCTGTGTTTTCCCAGCTTTCTCCATTTCTAATATGGGGGTTGATTTCATCCCTCCTGTGATGACGCTGAGCGCTTGATTTTGCACTTTGTCCAACTCCTTTAATGTGTTATAGATGCTGAACACCATGCAGTTGACCCATATTCCAAGTGTGGAAGTATGCTCTGCTTGTATACTTTATTGAGTATTTTCCCATCTGCTCCCCATGTGGTTCCACTTAGTTTTCTTAGTATTGCTGTCTTCCTCCTGGCTTTGGTTGCTGCCTTGTTGATATGTTTTCTCCATGTCAACCTGTCATCAAATGTGACTCCTAGGTATGTGGGCTCTTTATCATCTCTCAGGGGTATTCCGTTTATTTTGATGGTGCCGGCTTTTTTGCTTTGGGGAGAGGGTGAATAGTGTGGTGCTACATTTGTCTGTGTTGATGTTGACACACCATCTATTGGACCATGCCTCAAGTGCATTTGTAGCCCGCTGTAGTGTTTGTGTGGCTATCGTTGCATGTTCATTGGTGCATCATAGTACCAGGTCGTCTGCATACATTGCCATTTTGATTCCATTTGGTATCTCAGCAACCAGATCGTTGATGAATAAGAGGAAAAGTGTGGGCGACAGGACACCACCTTGAGGGACGCCTTGTCGCAGTAGAACTTTTTTACTTTTAAAACCATCTACCTGTACCCGGGCTCTTCTGTTATGTAGATATGCTTTAATCCAATTGTACATTTTTCCATTTATTTTATAGTTTCTCAATTTCTTCAAAAGCCCCTCCTTCCAAACCTTGTCAAAAGCTTTCCTTAGATCTATCCATGCCGCGAGTACCAGTTTCTTATCTTGAAAAACATCCTCTATTTCTTGGAAGAGGTATGTTGTCTGGTCTTCCGTAGAGTAGAACTTTCTAAAGCCCGCATGCTGTGGTGTAATGATGTTTTCACTTTCAATGTACCACTGTAGTCTGAGGTTGGTGATGCGCTCCATTGTTTTACAGAGACAACTTGTGAGGCTGATCGGTCTGTAGTTGGAGGCATTAGAACTGTCTTTCCCAGGCTTTATGAGGGGTATCATAATTGCCTCTCTCCAGATCTGTGGAACATTCCCTGTTGCCCGGCAAGCATTAAATATCTGTAAAAGCTTTGTTTTGGCTACTTTTCCTAACTTTCTGATAATTTCGTTTGATATACCATCTGCTCCTGGTGACTTCCGCATTTTCAGCTTTGAAATGGCCAACTCCAGTTCATTAAGTGTAATTTTCACCTCTAGCGCCTCTGATGTTATTTCTTTCTGACTTCTAAATTGTGTCTTTTCTTGAATTTCGTGTTTTTTCTCTGAACTGATTTCAATGTCGTTATCTAAAGCAAAAGTGTCCGCCAATAGGTTGGCTGCCTCTTTTCCTGTGACCATGTTTCCATCTTTCTGTTGACACAATGTCAAAACGCAGTTATTCATCTTCAAGGGCAGGATGCATCTATCTATGTCGCACATACTCTTCTGGACTTTAGGTACACATGTGCTGACCCACACCCTGCAGTCCACCATGATCAGACTTGATACAGGTCAAGACATATCCACACATCGCGGCCGCTCATCCCAAACACAGGTTCTCAACAGGGGCCTGGAACATCGTAGACAGGATTAACGTTTCCTCCCAAGTCGGACTGAGATGCCAGGAACCAACAGTCTGCACACAGATAAACCGTGTATAGAAAAGAGATGTGGCTGCAAGCCTCAAGGTCTGGAACAAGACCATAGTCTAAAAGAAATGGACGAACAACCAGGACTTCCCACAAGAGGTGACCGCAGGGCCAGCTGTACATGTTATGGGGTCGTTTAGGCGCTCACATCTTGTAAGATAGAGCACGCATGGTCGCGGGTACGAGCGTCGACCCAAGCTGACATCTCTGCCATTTACACTTGCGTGTCTCAAAGGTTAAGGAGTAAACTGAACGTTCAATCAGTGTCCTAGTCGGACTCTGTTAATCATGTGTGTAGATGGGCGGAGATAGGTCTAAGTTCGTAACATGCATGACAGACTGCACACGACGTGCCGTGGTTTCAGAAATTGTTATACACTGTGGTGGGCCCTTAAAAGGGCCTTGGGGTGCTGACGGCAGAGTTGCGGGTCATAAAAATGACCGTGGCGCGGTGATTTATGTCACAGACGTGAGGGGAAGTTAAGTCCAACATGATGTGTATAAGGAGATACTCCGTACGTCACTCGGGCGCCAGTCCTTCACTATCCTGGTTGTACGGAACCTCACGCAAGACCCCTACAGCACGTCCTCGTCGTGCGCCACGGATAATGTCTCAAATGAGCATTAACAGAGCTGTCAGGGGATCTCGGATTTTGGCGGCCCCAGAGGTGATGTGTCCTTGTGGCTCTCATCAGCCCGCCCCCAAACGCTTGGGTGAAAAATGTTATCAAAACTCATTAGGAACATGGGTAGGTTTGCCAAATGTACAGCCAAAATTACAACCCTTGGTTAAAAGACTGCGGAGTAAAGAGAACATTGTTCACTGCACATCCTCTGTTAACCCTCAGTGTCGTCGTCACCGCGCTGAGGTACACCACAACAGCAACCATCCATAGGCTGGCCATCCTGGTACATCCTCGGTTAACCCTCAGTGTCGTCGTCACCGCGCTGAGGTACACCACAACAGCAACCATCCATAGGTTGGCCATTCATGTACAGCCTCGGTTAACCCTCAGTGTCGTCGTCACCGCGCTGTGGTACACCACAACAGCAACCATCCATCGGATGGCTAAGCCTAAATGTCCGACAAAACTAGATCTTACGGATCAAAATCTGACCATCAAAATTTGTATTGAACTGAAAAAGACCGAATGTCCACACCCAAAGACCCCACTCGCCCGAGTGTTGGGACAAAACTGATAACGATATGCCTGATTCAGGATGTAAAATTCTGTCGGGCTAACGGCTCGTCAAAGAAATCCAACGTGCGAGGAACAAAAAAAAAAAGAATGTACCTATCTGTGTGGTCACAAAAGTCCAAAACCCACGGGCTGCTCCCCGCTGACTTCAAGAGGGCACAGCCCCTGTCGAGCGGGAGGCCTGATACGGTTGTGAGGTTAAGCAGGCATGTGCAGGACGTGACGATTCCTTGGGTGAGCCCAGAACCAGAGCGCCATGTGCCGGCTCTGCATGCACGGGAGCCTCCTTGGATGGCGGGGAATGCCCATGATCTGCCCCTGCCTTCCCTTGAGGGCCAACTGTTCCACAGGGGGCTGCCCCAAAGGGGTACTCCGGGGGCAATACCTGCGGCGAAGGAGACAAAGTGGACACCACACAAATCAGGCAACGTCTCGACCCACACAAAACAATGGCCACAGTCACCCTAGAAATAGGCCTGACGTCTTCCTTCGGAGTCTGAGTACAGCTGCCCATGAGGCAGGGAAATGAAAAACGGTTGTACACGCAAAAATCAGGTCCAGGTGAAAGCCAAAAATCCAAGCGCACGATTAACCGGGACCTTCCACTGGAATTCACAGCCGGTGATCGATGAAAAATAAAGAGAAATAAAAATGACCGACATTGAGCAGGAATAGTTTACATTGGCTACTCACTCAAAATTCACCAATTTATTCTTACAGTCCAAGAACGTCAGAATATACCCCATCGCTTAACAGCGAGTAAAACACAGCGTGTACATGTCCGTCCGCCAACAAATACATAGCAAAAGACAACCTGACACCCCTGCCACTTGGACTAACGCGTCTTAAAGGTTAAGACGCATAAATAAACTTCCAGTCATGTCCGCTTGGCCCAACTTCGTTACCAGAACCATGATTTTATTAGGTTACCGTTTCGTTTCTATTCTTCTTGTCTGAAGTGAATGGCTCCTTTCCGCACCATTCTTTATACAGGGTACATGGCGTAGCCCATTATTATTATGGACATGTAGCTTTCTTACGCGCAATGAGAGTTAACATTACGTTGACCACCTTTACTTTCCACAATATTTCTTAGCAATATCTATTTAACCTTGGGTAGATCTTTAACCCAGGTCAGATTTCATAATCTTTCGGTAAAAATTATTTAAACTAAAGGACCGTTGCAACGTCGTTGCCGCATGAGGCACACCGTGCTAGATCTACATCGTTATAGACCAATAGGCACTGGTTGTGTGACGTGTTTAACACCACGCCGGCTGCCACTACTTCCCTGGACATTTCCTGGTACCTATTTTAGACCGAACATAATCTCACAAATGGGGGATATTTGAAAACATTACCGCTGGGCCGGAGTCAAGCGTTGAAAGCACTACAGTATCTTGACTCGCGTTAATTGTCTATTATTTTTGACGATACCTAAAGTTTACTACTGCAAGCAGGGTCTTTGTGTAGCCTTTTCTCTGCTTACCCAAGACGCTACTGAAGTCTTCCATATGCGGTGATCGCAGCCCTTGTCAGTCATTCCATCCTAGGCTTGGTCTACCTCGCATTTCACACTGGGCCGTTCACTCGTGTGTACCTGTAACTGTGTGGTGATCACAGTTAGCTGTCTGTCCTTCACTTGACTTAGCAGAACCAACCTCAGCATTTTTTATCTTGTTCGTGATTTAACTAGTCAATTTTACGTTCTGTAGTTTGCCATTGCTTTCTTGCTGGTCAGCTCACAAAATCACCTGCAGCTGGGATTGAATTCCACTTCGGCATTACGAAGCGCGTTCTCAACGATCAAGCCACAGAAGCCGACCTGTGGTCGTTACGAGTTGGTCATCAAACAACATTTTCATTCAGATATGCTCGAGATTTGCTAAATATTTCTGTAACTTGAGAATGTTATAAAACACATCTGACCTCTTTCTCCACGGAAATCTTAAACATGGTCTCCAGGCTGCTCGTGGCGGCTTTAACCAGCCCGATCTGGTCTCTGTGGGCCAGGTGCCAGGTGGGCAGTGAGGTCAGCATGCAGCAGTTAGCCTGCTCAAGGACGGCCACCTGGCGGACTTTCCCACGGGCCAGAAGTTGTTGCATCAGATCCAACAGGCTGGCTGCTAGCTCCGACTTGAGAAACTTGGGAATATCTGAGGACACCCATGATCAGGACACTATTAAAACACTGAAGATCATGACACCATCTCAGTATTAAAGATTATAACATTAAAATGTAACGAACATGATAGTAATGACCCTTTCTAGGGTAAGGGTATGAGCCTGTGTACGGTAAGGGTATGACCCTGTCTGGGGTAAGGGTATGACCCTGTGTACGGTAAGGGTATGACCCTGTCTAGGGTAAGGGTATGACCCTGTCTAGGGTAAGGGTATGACCCTGTCTGGGGTAAGGGTCAAGCTAAACGGAACTATACACACAAAAGTCCCACACACACATATACAGTCTGTGTTACATAACGAGGAGTGAACAAAGCAATGTGCAAACAGGCCAAGACAAGGAATCAGGTCGCTGTCAGTCGGTAAGATGGGGGTGATTGGTTCACGTCTGGCGCACATACCACAATATTAGCCAAACTATTGGCGCAAATAAACCAGACCACAACTATAACCGGGGACTGCCGGCAGAAGCTACCAGCAGTAGGATGACGTTGGTAAAGTTTTTGATTGTTTACTAGAATGGACACGGACATACATGCTCAACAGGTATAGCGTTAACCAAGTACACGCAGAAGCAAAAGTTTTACTGACTAAAGTGTAGAAGTACAATACAGAAACGAATAGCAGAACCTGTGTGTGATTCTGTTACTTGTGAACCGACCTTGCCTAAAACAGTTACCAGGTAATGTCTTGGGAAGTAAAGGAGACTGGCGTGATGTTGACAACATCATTCATCTAGTAAAATGACTTGTATTGCTTGATAAAAGTCAGATCAAGGACATGTTGTGGACCCCCCCCCCCCCTCTGCCCCCCCCCCTTAGGATATTCTTCTGTAGTGGTTTATGAGTAGGCTAACAGATTAGCAGCTTCGATCCTCTTGGCGGTGAGCTACTTGATGACAAACTGGACGTGGTGAAAGCTCTCTGCCGCCAAGCCAACATTGCAACAAAACTGAGTACCCATACTTTGACAGATTAATTCGGCCCGATTAGAGGGTGGGTGGGTGGGGGGCAGGGGGTCCTGGACGACATCCAAAACTTATAGAAAAACATAGGCGGATGTTTAATCTAGGGCTGTACCGAATATTCGCTTCGGCTCGAATAGTGGACCTAATAAATATTCGCTATTCGGCCGAATACTTGCGGTCGGGCCGATTACGAATAGTGGTTACCTTACACCGTTTCTGCATACACTGCGATAGTTGCTGTTGCCTAAGTGGCTCTCATGCATTAACTAAGCTGTCAATGACAATTTACAAGTTTAGTTAATTGTTGTAAAACTAAGAATACTTTCATTCCTAGATATTAGTTACCACAGATGGTGAAACTATGGGGGTGACTGCAGTCAAGCTAATACAATGAATTCCAGAGAAATTTGACTAAAAAGCTCAACAAAATGGGAAAGAGGAAAACGTGCACTTAAAACAAGCGGAACAAAATGCATTTGTAACGTTTCGGACAGGCAAGCCTTTTTAAAACACAAGCACTTGTGTTTGAAAAAAGCTGCCTGGCCGAAACGTTACGTTGTGTTGTTTTGTGCACGTTTTCCTCTTTCCCATTTTGTTGAGCTTTTTAGTCAAATTTCTCTGGAATTCATTAGTTACCACAGACTGACTGACTGAAGGGTGCAAAACATAAAATGTTTTTAAATGTTTACTGTTCTGTACTACATTTTGTGAAGTATCATTTCAGCGCACATGTGACATTATGATTTTTTTTTTTTTTTTTTTTTTAGATCTATTTTATACACTATACACTATTCGAAAGTGGAAGAATGGGCCTCAGTTTGAATAGTGGGAAGACAGAAGTAATGGTGGTATCAAAGAAAATAATTATTCCTAAATGTGTAATAAAAGTCAATGGTGTTATTTTGGGACAAATATGGAAATTTAATTATTTGGGCACATAGATAACATCAGATGGAAGATGCATTACTAAAATAAGAAACAGAATAGGACAGGCAAAAACTGCATTTTATAAAATGAAGAACATCTTATGCAATATATCTTTGTCATTGAAGGTTAGAAAAAGAATTCTTGCTTGCTACATACATCCAGTTTTAACATATCGCCGTGAGTCCTGGACAATCGGTAGGCAGGTCCAAACAATTTCTTGAGGCCTCAGAGATGTAGTTTTACAGAACAAAGCAACCACGAGGATTTGAAAGAGGCGTGAGCCCGAAGACAACTAATCACAGACATCAGAAGGAGACATTCATCATTTTTCGGCCATGTTATGAGAAGACGGAAAATGGAACATGTGGTGACCCCTGCAAAGATCTGAGGAAGGAGGGATAGAAAAGACAATGAGAAAAGATTCTTGACAGTCTTGTTGCATGGCATGGAGGTGTGTCGGCACACGAACTAATACATGCTGCAGGAAATCACAGATGTGGCAAGGCACAATCGCCCACGCCAGTCGGCAAGGCACAAGATAATGATGATACACTATTCGTATTCGTATTCGGCCGAACAGTTGGTCCCGCTTTTCGTATTCGGCCGAATAGTTGGTCCTGCTTTTCGTATTCGGCCGAATAGTGAAAATCACTTTTCTATACAGCCCTAGTTTAATCACAATGTAACTGGCACTATTAGTTTGGGAACTTTTTGTTTTCTTGGCTACTGAGGAAGGAGGGAGTGGCCGAGGTGTGGTCGCTAGAAGCTCACCTGCGGATGGCAAGGTCGTGGGTTCGAGTCCTGACAGTAACGGATTGTTTGGTGTTGCAAAAATGACCTTTCCTCCCAGGTCGACCCAATCTTTTAATGGGTCCCAGGTGGTAATCCTGGGAGGTAAAGACAGCCGGCGTGACGTGGAACACATCACCCATCAAATGCCGATAGGTCTATAAAGCATACGTCTAACTCTCTACGCATAGAACGCACAAAGGCGTGGAAAGGGTTTACATTTAAAAAAAATGTTTTTCTAACTTTGACTGATGAAGGAGACAGAGCACGTTTGGGAGTGTCTCCAGTGTAGTCATGTCAATAGTTGATTCATCCGTCCACCCACCGAGTACCGATATGTCTATACAAACACAGGTCCTGCCTGATGGATAGAGGTAACAGAGGGGACCTTGACCTAACTCACTAGTGGTGTTCCAAGTTGGCAAAATGGTCAGGATTTATTAGCATACAAGCTCAGGGTGTTGGAGACAAGTCACTTCAGAATCACACCATCTCACAATATTCCTATCTTCCCACTCAGTAGCCAAGCAATCGACCCAGCAGTCAAGCAATCAATCCAGCATTCAAGCAATCGACCCAGTAGCCAAGCAATCGACCCAGCAGTCAAGCAATCAATCCAGCAGTCAAGCAATCGACCCAGCAGTCAAGCAATCGACCCAGCAGTCAAGCAATCGACCCAGCAGTCAAGCAATCGACCCAGCAGTCAAGCAATCAATCCAGCATTCAAGCAAGCAATCTAGCAGTCAAGAGCTAAACCTAGCAGCAAAACAGTGAAGTCATTAACTCATCAGTCAAGCAATCCACTCATCAGTCAATGTACTAAACCATTAACCCGGTAGTCAATCGACCAAACAATCAACCTTGCCGTCAGTTAAGCAAACAATCAACCCAGCCGTCATTTAATCAAACAATCAACCCAGCCGTCATTCAGTCAAATAGTCAACCCTGTCGTCATTCAATCAAACAGTCAACCCGGCCGTCATTTAATCAAATAGTCAACCCTGCCGTCATTCAATCAAATAGTCAACCCAGCCGTCATGCAAGCAAACAGTCAACCCAGTCGTCATTTAATCAAATAGTCAACCCAGCCGTCATGCAATCAAAAAGTCAACCCGGCTGTCATTTAATCAAATAGTCAACCCAGCCGTCATGCAATTAAATAGTCAACCCGGCCGTCATTCAATCAAATAGTCAACCAAGCCGTCATGCAATCAAATAGTCAACCCAGCCGTCATGCAATAAAATATTGAACCCGGTCGTCATTTTATCAAATATTCAACCCAGCCGTCATGCAATCAAACAGTCAACCCGGCCGTCATTTAATCAAATAGTCAACCCAGCTATCTATCAATCAAATAGTCAACCCAGCTGTCAATCAGTCAACCTAGTCGTCAGTGAGTCAAACAAACAACCCTGTCGTCAATGAAGCAAGCAATAAACTCATAGATGCTAAACTAACAGAACAGCTTCACAACTAAATCAATAAAGCAATCAACCCAGAAGTTAGTCAGCCAAGCAGTTGACCAGCAAATCAGACAAGTGATGAAAATGACCAGAAGGTTACCGTACGTTTCTTGTTATCTTCATCCTCCAATCCAAGAGCCACCTGTCGCCTCCTGGGCAGGCCACTCGAGACTCCCAAACATCCATAGTTCCGAACCTTCTTCGAGTCACAGTCTGAAAAACTCAGCTCCCGCAGCAGTGGTTTTCTGACTCTGTGAATCTCGGAGTCACTAGCCAGAGGAAGTCGCATCGATCGAGATCTCTGAACACTGTTAGAGCCAGACTCCCACATATCGTTAGAAATATTCGCAGTCACTAGGGATAAATTGCGGGCATGCGGCCTCTCCGCCCTGCCCCGGCCTCCAGACTGCTTGTCAGTGACAGCCGTCACAAAGACATCATCGGGGCATTGGCGTTGGTCTGTCTGTGAAGGGATGTCATCGTTATCCGATGCCGCGGGATAAACAACACTGGAATCAGCAACCATGTTTTCGTCTACAAATATTCTAGTTTTCTCATCGTTTCTTTCCTTCCCGACCGTGATGTTCACATTGAGTCCTCTACCGTGTGACTGTCCAGATTTCACTTCGTCTTGCTGCCAGTTACAATTTTTACTGGGTGTAACGGTTCTGTCCAGTTTGGAAGCTGATGGATCACTTCTTGATTCTACAAGAACTTTGTCTTGACCCTGATCCTTATGGATGTCTTTAGGAATTTGACTGTGAGCATGATATGGTCTTAGCTTCGAATGAACCTTGTTGTTTGCATCACCTTGTTTTTCAGGCTCTT